GTGTAATAAATAAGTGTGCCTCCGATCCTGTCGTCAAGCCTCCATATATACTTACTACACATACAAAATGGAAAAACGATCGAACGTTTAGTCCTGCGGATTGTTGGGACAAGCGCTGTTAGTGAGCGCCTATTATGGCCGGGACGGTTGGTACGAGCATGTCGCCTGGTTCATGGCACGAGAGAGTGTAAACCAATGCACCGCAGAGCTACACATCTCCCCCCCCCCCCCCCCCTCATGTGGGTCTTAAAAATGAGAGGGTGTGAGATGGTGAGCTTTGCTCTTACGAACAAACGCCATAGTGGGGTGTTTAAAAAAGATGGACCCAATTTCAAAGCAGTATATTTCACGATGGCAACATGTTACAATTATACAAAAAATTACAAACGGCGTTAGGCCAGAGGATGCCTTTTGGCGTCTTAGACGAGGCTTAAAAGAAAGCTGTGTCTGGTGTGGACCAATCAGTTTCAAGGACAATGCATATATTATCAGTGTATGTATTTTACTTGCATTCTGACCACAAGCATTGTGGTTAATGCAAACACGATTCCTTGTAAAAGGTTTCAGTTTGGTGTTTTAACATCTTAACACCTGTTTTTTTGCCAGAAAAAAGGGGAAAACCCTATTATCAAGCAGAAAACAGACAAGCCTACAGTTCAATGTGCGGAGCGCAAAGAGCTTTAGCTCTTTTTGGCTTCAAATGGTGGTGCATACATACGCGGCGAGTGAGTACGTGTAGGTATATACATTATTCAAGCCACATTACAAAAGCAATCACGATACAGTACATCTTTCATCAGTGATGGGATCAAAGATATACCTAACTCCCTACCTACTCGCCTTCACACCTACCTGCCCTACGCTCCTACCTACCTACTCCTGTACCTACATATCCTTTGTTTTATTCGGTAAAGTCACGAAGGTAAAAAAATAAAATAAATTAAATCACGACGTTTCGGGCGCAACACAAGCGTCCTTCTTCAGGTGGGGACAACTTAGCGACGAGTAATTACTCGTCACAGCCACCTCTGAGACACACTTAAGCGGTGTACTTCCACCACTTAAGCGGTGTTATTTCACCATTTAAGCGGTGTGCTTTCGCTAAGTTGTCCCACCTGAAGAAGGACGCTTGTGTTGCGTCCGAAACGTCGTGATTTAATTTATTTTATTTTTTTGCCTACGTGACTTTACCGAAAAAAACAAAGGATATGAATCCTTGCAGTCACGAAAACTTCAAATCTAGAATTAATACCTACATATCATTCCTTCCTACATTTCATTCCGAATTAATTTCATACCAACTCACCAACCTACATTGACACCTACCTTCACACCGACCTACCCACGCATCTGCCTATCTACCATCATACCAGCCTACACACCTACGTTTATACATAGCATACCTGCCTACACACGCACCTACGTATCTACCTTCAAACCAATCCACCCACCTACCTGTACCTACCTCCCGACCTTCACACCTATCTATCTATCTGCCTTCATACCAATCTAACAATCAATCTGTCCACCAATTGACCTACCCACTTACTTACCTACAGCAAGAAGTCCAGCGTATTGCAGTGTATTAATACAGAATGTGCAGTTGCGTTTTCCAGACATGTACGTAGCATAACATTTGCAAGTTATGTCGCCGACAAAAAAATCAAGAAATACTGTAAATGTAACTTTGCTGATCTGTGAGATGGCTTAGTTGAGCTATTACTGAATGTAAGTGCAAATTGAAGCACTCAAATATTTAATGCATTAAAGGAATTATCTTCGAACGAAAATATGTGCAAAGAAAGAGGCACCTGCTCCATAACCTCAGCCAACACCTCATGTTGTCACATGTATAATAGTTCCTCTGACACATGGGATGTTGACAAGGGGCACTGTCGGTAGTATGTTAAATGTTTGTCCACTGAAAATTGAGTAGAAAACGGACAACTCAAAACAAAAACCTGTAATGCATATGGTGTTTGTAAAATTAAATAATGCTGTGATTTTCTAAGAACCCTAAATATGTATTTGCAAAAAATAAATAAAGAATCGGCTGGATATAACAATATTTGAACAATCTTAAGCGCCTGGAAAAATTAATTTCGTGAGGTTTTAAATGTAATGAGAGTTGCACTTTCCCATTAAAAAGAGATTGCATTATAAAGAAATGTGTTTTGTTCAACGTCCCGTTGGCTTCGTAAATAGCTTCTGTTGGTAGCATACAATTTGAGGAAAGCACACGTGCTTTGCAGAGAGAGCCACATACGTTTAACTAAATATTCCAAGCAAAAAAATGGAAGGAATGTCATTTTATTTGAAGAATTTGATTTTTTATCCAAATTGTATTTGCTTGCAATGACTTCTACATAATGTATAGTGTTGATTTTTCTCTCCCACGCTTAATATATAAATTGAGTCTTAGCAATGTCTGCTATGAATGTGTGCTTTTACAATCAAGTGTTTTCACGGTAAACATCACACTCACCAAACCAGACAAAGATCCCCCATATAGCCTTCAACACACTGTTGGGGCAAGTGCTGTTAGCGAGCACTTATGAAGGCCGGCACGGCACACGAGGGGGCGGGTGACCAACACCACACCGGGTTGCCTATGTCTCCTAAATGCAAATGTTTACACACCGCACCAGGTACCCGTTTAAGGCTGAGTCAATCTAGGGGAGGCTCAAGACCTGTTCAGATATTCATCACCGATATTGGTCGTGAGTGGGTATTGAACTCAGGTTTGCCGGGTTTGTAATGCAGTGTGCTAACAACTGCACCACTGCTCCCCACAGCATTACCAACTGACCCACCAACAAAACTAAACCAATCAGTTTCCTTGATTATTATCGAACTGGGTTTGCTGGGTTTGGAGTGCAGTGTGCTAACCATTGCAGTACCGCTCGCTCCCACTGACAAATACACACTCCAGCGGGACATTGCGTAAAGTTTACCTTCTTTTCGTAGGTAATCGCTCATTAAGACAATTGGTGTTTTTTTTTATCATCATTTATAAACCCCACCCCCTTTTTAATAATATTTCAAATGTATAATACGCATTCCATCCTAGGACCCCAATGGGCAATGCATTGAAAGCAGTAAACCAAAACAGAACCAGGGCAACCGATCAAACTCAAGAGGTAAGGCCACTTTAAAGAGATGGGTTTTCAAAGCAGACTTAAATATATCTACTGACTCTGATTTTCTGATTTCAAGCGGCAAGGCGTTCCATAGCTTGGGTGTCACGCTAACAAAAGCTCGATCGCCAAAAGAAACGCAACCTAGACCTGGGAGTGCTGAGTGGTTGGAGATCAGAATACCTTAAGGACCTTGATGCAATATATACATGTATTATTTCCTGCAAGTAATATCAGAATGTAGGATTTACACCACTGACTGGGCCACGAATGGAGACGCTTTGACGTTTGTGACCTCCGGATTTAGTTTTTCAACTGGAATGGGAAAATGTTGTGGATAGAACTGCATAGCTCGTGTGTCTCTGATCTTGGCACCTCTTTTGAATGCGACAATGTAGAAAAAATTATAATTATAATAATACATAAATGAACCTGCAATATTATTTCGTTAATTAGCTGCACTATAAAAGTTTGTAAATAAATAAAATATCCATATCGCGGACTGAATCGCTGTTTGGCAAACACAAACAGAATGAAATTACAAAAGGAGCTTATATATTTATATATACAGGCAAATCAACAAAGGTGTTAACCATCAGTTATGATTGTTTTAGGTGAAGGAGACATCGTCTGGTAATCTATTAAATTATTTCTATTCTACACAACGCCCCTCGTGATGATTGTGTGTTATAACTCGATGTTGTTTTGATTATTGGCAACATGTAGGGGCACAGCCCTGCAATTGCTTGCTCGTGCGACTGCTGGTGGAAGAGCCTTCACTCGAGTCAGCTCCAGAGAGCCCCTCTATATGGTATTTTGGCCTGCAAGTCAGATGCAACGTTTCATATCGCACACAACTGACATGGTATGGGGAGGCCTTCATCCAGAAGTGGATTTACCTACAGTGTGATAAAAAATAAACATCGAAGTAATGATTTAAAAGCACATTCTGTTGTGTATGAGTTCAGTTTGGGTATCAACTGAGGTTATCATTCCTGTAGGGGTCACACTGCTTGAATGTAACATTGGTTGTCTTGTGGATGGACTGTCCCCCATCACAGCAATGTGGAATTGCCGGTCCTGGTTCAGGGCCGTCAACAGAGACGAGTGCTTCCTAATGCTCGTTAGAGTATGGCAGTCACTTTTGATGTCGTCTTCCACGTACGATCCACCTCTCGTCTCGTACCCTTACATCCTTGGGTTAATTTTCTCTTTGCAGCAGCAGCAACAACAACAGCACAAAAACACGCATTGTCTCATCACCTCGATAAAGCATTGACTGATCACATATGAACTCCATAAATGAAATACTCTCGCAGCCCAGAGGAAAGGGAGGGGGGGATTAATGGAGACTAATGAGGAAAACTCGAAAGCTCAAGGGAAGCGTCTAAAGTGAGAAGCGTCGGCATTTATAGAGATCTGAGACAGTGTAGGGAAACAGAAGAGGCAACTTTAATTTGAAAGAGAAAAATAATTACATAAGACACCAAAACTCCACAAGGTTCGTAAACATCACGAAACATGCAAAAGCCTCGGTGTGTGGCTTAATTTTATTTTAAATCCCATTTGGCAATGTTTATTTTGAGGCTGACGTCTTTTGTGTGTGTTTCATAGTGAAATCGTACGTTCATTACGGTCAATCATCAGTGGCGATGCATTTAATGAAGCTGTTTTTAATATGTTTTATATGAACTTTAATGTATTTTGAATGAGGATTAGCTCTGCTTATTGCACTGCTCGTCTTTGTTCATAGAGGGTTTTACAACCAGCGGATTTACATTCTTCATTCAAACGGATTGGAGTTTCAGCATTAGGACTAATTGAAAGCAAAATTAAATGAAAACGGTCAATTCAATGTCTTACCTGGTAATAGAGTATTTGGATTGAATGAAGGTATTGTCTTTGCTTTTCCCTGCAATGAATTAAAAACCAAAACACCGTGTTAGCAACTGCTGCTTGAGCGATTCATTCAAAAGCTCCTTTTATAGAACAGGCTCATTTAACATGTAGGCTTTCGCGACCAATATTATTCATGATATAGTTTTTTTTTTGGGGTCAGATCGCGTTATTTATAAATGTGTCGTAACCCTCCACCACCCGACACGGCCAAACAGTAAAAAATGTGTCACGTTTTTCAAAGGACAAAATAATTCACTTCTCTAGCCCACCGGTGTGTTAAAGAGAGAATCAACAGCATTTTAAAATTTGAGTACGACGTTTCGCTGATAACTACAATCAGCTTCGTCGGGCAAGAACGGTGAAGCTCTCCTGTTTCTTCCAGTCTTAAATAGAGCAGCAGCAGCAGGGTGACGTCATCATTTAATTCAACCTATAATATGAAGAACAGGCTAAATAATAGCAATGCGGGTACAAAGATGCAACACCATCACTCCCAGCCCACTGACCTCGAAAACTTATCCCACACACTGATACCGCCATCAATTAAATGACCAAGCAAGCATAAAAGGATAGAGTCGTGTAGGAGCATGAGGTTTATTGAATGGTGCACAAGCGATTGAGAGGGTTGGAGCAGAGATTCAAGGTGAGGGTGACACAGGTCACACATGAACCAACAGCAGATATTTGGTTCATGGGTGTCAGATATTTGATTTGTCGACACTACCCGAAGGTGGCATAACTTCGGTGGTTACGATTTCTTTACGTGGTCAGTGACATTGTGTTACGCGATAACAATTTGACACGGTGAGTTTTAACAAAATGGACTCTCATTATCCTCATTTGCTTAAATCCGTCCGACTAACGTTTTGCTTCATTAGGTGGTAGCGATTTCTGCTCTCTGGCCCATGGACTAAGGTGCTGAGACACTCAACAGAATGTTGTATTCGAAGACTGCTTAATTCCACTGCTGCACTACACTCTGTTTCAGCTGAACTTGGCAACCAAAATCGTGCAGGCTGCCCTAGTTGGAACGTCTACCAATTTGATGTTTATATTTACCAATTTTTTTTTTAATCTGAGTGAAACTATTTTAAAGGAGTTGTTATTTTGCCCTTGCTGTTCGGTATACAGAAGAACATTTTTGAAGGAAACATAATACCAAATCACACCACAAATTTGACTTTATTCAACAAACCACAGCACAGAGAGCATTGTATGTTTCTAACCTTGGATAAGTTACTATAAATGGGATACCAATTTAAGCTTTAATCATTGCTAAAAGTCTCAAAGATTTACGGAATATATATATGAGCAAGTACATTGCGTCCTCAACTATAACACCCATTGTAACCTCATCCCAGCCTCACAATCCAGTGAATGAAAAAACTCAACAGAATAACACGCTGGCCATGAAAAAAACACTATTTATTAGGAGACATTTCGACTAGTGGCCCTTATTCCTATGAAGAAGGGCCATTTCCCAAAAACGTCGCTTATGACATATGTCCTTGAAAGCCCCCCCCCTGCCCACCACAGTGTTATTGACAAATGTGTTGAGTTATTGTTCATTTTGCTTGTGCATCACCAACTCGTGTGGTTAAATTCACAAGCCACCATGCTGATAGGTCAACGCAAGTTAACCAATCAGAAGTTCTGGTGGAGCCAGAGAAGGAGAGAGAGACATGAAGGAGCAAGCCGGTAGTTGAATAACAAGTTAACGTGTCCTCAAATCGGGGCCGAATATGTGTGACGTAACGCAAATTAATGGCATATATATAGCATTTTATTAGCCATCAAACCGGAGCATAGTAGAATTTAATCAGCACGTCCGAACGACTCTATTTGTGATGAATTTCACTGCGGCGGCATAATTCGTTCAGCCTGACGGCGGTTATATCAAGTTCAACCGTGCCATCATTAAATGCGTTTTAAGTCGCCCTCTCCGCTTAATGCGACGCACAGCTCATCTGGTTACCGCGCTTGATGTGCCACTTGACGTGCTAATTGATGTGCGACTTAATGGGGCCCCACGTTAACGCCGTATTTCAGCACTCCGCCGTTTAAAGGGTCTCGTTACTCCCGATTTCTGTAAATCAAGGGGTCCGTGGGCACATATCGCACGCTCGGTGCTGCTGTCAGCAAACCGAGGCGACTCTGCGCCGTGTTTTGCCCAGCCATTCATTCTCCCCGCCGCTGCAGGTGCAAGAGGCCAAAAACGGCCAGACATTTCAGATCTCTTATCAAGGGCAGAAGGGCGGGAGAAACGCGCGCGTGAATGCGTGGGCGGACACGCTGCAGCCAGGGTCCCCGCGACCCGTGCGGAAAGGTTAAAGCGATGCAGCGGGGATCGGTCGCTGACTGGCTAATGCTTGCTTGACCTTTGTGGTGTCCTGGGCTTTGAATTGGCGTAAACAGCCCGACACGCGGAAACACAACAGCAACAACTGGCGGCATCTTGCGCAAGGAGTCTTCACGCGGGCTCACTAACCGGCACTTGTGTGTGCGCAAAACGTTGACCTTTGTGAACCCTTGCTGCTGCTGCTGCTTTATATTTGCAACAGCAAAAGTAATGCTGCATGGAACAACCTCGGTATAATGAATGAGGTGAAGAGAAAGAAGCTGTACAACTCTGAATCCAAACTTCTACATTATGAGAAAATGGCAAATGAATTCCATTAAACTCGGAGGGGATATTTAGGAGCCAATAATGCAGTGGCATCACTGTGACTAGCACACAGACATATCCTCGTGAGTCTCAAATTAACAGTGGCTTGTGCAACTGACAGTCACCGGATAACACGTAAAGAATGGTCAGGGTACATTGTGATGATTTTACTTCTGCACACAGCACGGGCAGATCTTGTTAGAGCCGACAATTTTCGCTGATGGTATCAATAGAGTTCCATTATTAGCGGGTGTTATGACTGAAGTTTTAAGAAAACAACCACCACAACGAAAGGTCACGTTGCCCTCACGTTCAACTTAGCTTTGAAATGCCATCGTTGTGCATTAGTTCATCACAAGTCCGCAGTGCCTTAATTAGGGGTAAATTAGGAAACTGTATTATTCGGAAAAGGCGTGATTTAAGCACAAACGTTGGAGGGCAAGACCATCTGTGCTTATATTCAAAGTGCCCTTCTATCCAATTTACCCTTAGCTTATTTCCACCAGTATACGATATGGGGGACCAGATCACGGATCATATTATACACAGAGTTACATCATTGGACCTTCTTTGCTAGTATCAAAATATAACAAAAGGTTTTACCCTTTCTGGCAATAAAACAGCTGTGATAAGATGTTAAAACACCAAACTGAAACCTTTTGCAAGGAATCATGTCTTCATTAACCTCATATACTTGTGGTGAACATACATACAAACAAAAAAACATGCTCTGGTAGTATAAGCATTGTCTTTGAAACTGATTGGTGCACACCAGTAACAGCTTTCTTTAGAGCCTAGTCTCAAACCGTGTTTGACCAGAGGACGCCAAAAGGCGAACAGCACAAAGACAATGCCACTATAAGGACATTGAGAGCTCGGGGTGAACAGCTGCATCAATGGGACCTCCCTTGCCATTATATGTGGTTAATGCAGATTATGATTCCTTGCAAAACCTATTCTTATATACACGGAGTTATCCACAAATTTTGCAACTAAATACTCTCACCGCATGGCTCTAAATGTGGAGGGGAAAAACAGATGACCTGGAGAAAAAAATCTCTGCGACCACGGGAGGAACAGGCAAACTTCAAATATACAGGCGTCAGGGTTGTGATCAAACCCATGACCTCCTATAAACCAGGTGAGGTAGTTAACATCTCGCCACCGAAGAGCCCCTTAGAGAAGGTTTGCTTAGATTCAGCTTCTACTGCATGGACAAGTTTTAAAGTGCAATGTCATTTTAATAGCCCAGAGAAAACCCTTCACCAATGTCCAGAGGCATTATGAAGGTGCACTTGAATGCTTAAGAAATCAATGGACAGGCAAAGTCATCGCATTGCTTGCAGTGCTAGAGGTGAGTGTAACATTATTACTCACGTGCTGGAGCTATATTTGGTTTATGGCATGCAGGCAAGTCAGCAGTTTTATTGTTTCGCCTTCTGAGCGTCGGGGCTCTCGTTGTGTGCCAATTAATTAAGGGATGAATGGTGACTCCTTTTGCAATGAATGCATCCAGTGTTCAAAAACAAAGCTCCACTAAGTAGCTCATAAGTCACAACTAATCTCGCCAGGATTCATTAGTTCGGTTTTTATCCCTGTTTCCAATTTAGCTTTTTCTTTGGGCACCAAGAGATTAAGCGAGCCTAATTTTTATATACTACCTTTATTAGACTATTGCACAGGGCCTGATACATAGCTAAGTAAGTTTGCTTTTTAACCAATGTCACTGTACTGCATCCCAGGCTAATCTCACTTCCACATTACACTTTGAAATGACCCCATGCAAATACCACACACTGGTAGACAATGTGAAAATTGAATGCACATTCATGTATACTGTATACGTGTATCCTCCTTTAGTTTTCTTAATAAATATAGTAACTTTATGCGTAGGCTTTCTTGACCAATATTATGATTCACAATTAGGTTTTTTGGGGGGTTAGGTCGTTTAAAAATGGATATCGTAAACCCTCCTTTATCCGACATAGTCCATTCATATCACTCAAACACACATAGTGCGGTGGTAACCACTGCGCCACCACTCCCTTTATTAGAAATGCATTGTATTATGTTGAACTTCTGTCACTCCATACGTAGCCAACCGTGATAATTGGAGGCGCGGGGGAAGACCAACAAACTAAACACTAAAAGCAGTTCTAAAGAAATTAGTTTTCAATCAAGATTTAAATGTGCATAGCTCCAGTGGCTTCCTAATATCGCAAGAAAGAGCGTTCCAGATAGCCGCATAAGCGCACCCGAAAGCGCGAATTGCAGTGACCGTCTTTGTTTGATGGTTAGCCAAAAGCCGCTGCGATTGCCTGTTATATCAGAAAATCCATCATTGTACA